TGTGTAATTGAGTCTGTAATCAAGGAACACAGCGGTAATTTGGAACTCGAAACTAGTCTATTGGACTTCCTGTGACTTGACTTGATAAAAGTATTATCTGCAAAAAAATCTACAGATAATATATTTATYATGTCATTGATGCTATCGCATTCCAGCATCAAACTTTAACATTGAGCCCTAGAAAAAATGGCAGTACTGATTCTCAGACAGTTAGGGCGAAATAGTGATTACAGCCCAAATACTTTAACCGGAACCACTTACACCAGTTAGAAAAGAGAACTAGTTAAAATGTAGAATAAAAACAATACATTCAAACTTAGTAGTCAAGCTAATCAGAAACCTTGGCTGCACGAAAATAGTAATCTGACCCTGATGTTACGCGTAAACAACTAGATAGTATAGCCATCGTTCATTTTCCGTGGGAATAAAAAGATATATTGAAACGGAAGCAATGGTTAATTTTCTGCTGGTTTCAGATTGGCTCCAATAGCCAAAGTTGGAATGTATTGTTTTCATTCTACATTTTAATTCATTTGGTTCTCGCTGTCTAGATGTCTTCTATTATAGTAGTCGCAAGGCTGTAAAATCTATAAAAAAATTGTTAATATCGACATAATAGCAAACGTTTAGAGAGAGTTATTTTCATAATTAATGTCTTCTTTATCACAGTTTGTCTTTATTGTCAACGTGTTAGGGTTACCAGAATCATTAAATGTCATATCAGTGGCGTATCTATAAAGAATAGTTAATACCAACATCATAGCAAACGTTTAGAGAGAGTTATTGTCATAATTAATGTCTTCTTTATTACAGTTTGTCTTTATTGTCAACTTGTTAGGGTTACCAAAATCACTAAAAGTCGTATCAGTGACGTAGAGAAAGGACGTACGTGCGTAAGTGAGCTCTAAATAGAAGTTGCTTAATTTGGTCAGGTATAAATGTAGCTTTTAGTTATTATAAGTCTCTAAATGCAATGAGCAGAGTTGCAATGATTGCAATGACTAATCGATATATAGCTATATCGATTAGTCAAAAGAAAAATTGAATTAACATAGTGCGTTACAGGGTTTCCAAGTAACACGAACTGTTAACGTGACTTTATAGAGGGGTACAGTCTATGTGTTTCCCACCACGTAATGCGCCCTTTTTCAATGGAAAAGGGGGTTTAACTGGTAGAAAGTTGGGGGATATAGACTACTTGTAAAATTATATGAGATTCAAGGTTAACAGGGGGAAATCAGGCACTTTTTTCCGGGCACTTCATTTGTGTAATTGTGTTCAGCTGGCATCCAAGATAATTTTTAATGGGTTCTATTTCATTATTTTATTCACTTTCTAAAAGCATAAGCTAAAAAGCGAAAATTATTGGTCATTACATAATACGGTAAGCAGAAAGCCAAATTCGCTATAGCAGGCAGTTGAACAACAAAAGCTAATCATTAAAACAAGGAGTCCGATAATACTGAGAAGATAACCCAAATATACTTAAGCTGCGCCTTTGCAATCTAACATGCACAATTAAAGAAATACCACTTGTACTTCTAGAGTAATCATAGTTATCTTAGTTTTAGTCGCCGAGGCTTTTGCCGCGTCGAATTTATTGCTTTTGAGGCCAGCGGCTACGAAAAGCTGAGAACCGTACTATATAAGACTATCAGTTATTTTGCTTAGCACCAGAAGCCGACAGCATGTGTAGAGTTTTTGTATACGTACTTCTACTAATTCATTCTACTCATAGGCATATAGCTGAGATTTGACGCGGCAAATTAAGTTCCACATCTGCGCTGATCTTAGTCCCGTTTAATGATTTCGTGGTCATAGTTTCTAAGGTCGAGACCATCTTCATCCTTGTATTTGTAGACATCACGGGAGCCATGTGCTTTTTCTACTTCACTAGTAGGCAAAGTAATTTTAATAACATTCTTTGCTCTATCGATGTTTGTGGAAGGGCGAGAGCCATCATAGTTATTGCGTAATATTGCTGTTTTGCTCTCATCAGGACGGATCTTTGTCAAGTAGACCCCTGGAACAACACAACAATAACAAAAACAAAAGGATTACCCAATTGCTGTCAATAAAGTCATATTTCTAAATTCAAAAAATATCGACGCAACGTAATAGCTGAAGTGAGTAGACATTTTTTTGTAGCTCTGTACCTTTCAAAATAGACCGTAAAAGTCTCTTGAATGTCTTTTTTAAAATCAAAAATTGACTCGTTTGCTATGAAAGTTAAATGTTCAGTACACGTTTAAAAACTGCCGTGTAAGTTGTAACATCTTTTATTACATCTTTTATTATATTTATGTTTTTAAATACCTTTTCCGATCATCATGTCGCTTGGGTCGGTAGATGGTCTTATTATTTTATCCCTTTTTATCCCTTCAATGCCTTGGTCGTCGGTGTAATGGTAAAATGTGTCTTTTTCAGTACTTTCCTAGTAGAACACCAATAGGTCAGATACAGTGTGAATAAAAATAACTAGATCATACCTCTTTCTTTTCAAAATTATAAATGATATCATGCACATTGCTAAACCAACTGATTAGAATTTTGTTCTTTTTGAAACTTTTCTAGACTTGCTTTATAAAAATGATAATTCTAGAAATAGAGATTACTTCATGGTTATTTCACGATTTCAAGAATGAAAGGCAGGGAGAGTGAGTCTTTCAGTATGTCACTAGGGTTTGGGTCTCTTATTTCCTAGTTATTTTTAGAATAAAAGTGGACTCTTAGGATTATCTCTCGTTGCCGGTTAAAGACGTTCAATAGTCATCGATGTCAGGTTATCCCGTGTACAGCCACTTCCCACCCTCACCCCTACGGCGGAAAACGGGGAGAGAGCGCCACAGCGTGTTACGTTTTTACGTTCCCTTTATCGTGTTCCAGAAATAAATTTGTATATATATAATATCTTATTATGGCGGAGCTTCTAAACAAAGTTATTTCGCGAGTCTCTGACATCTTTGAATTATCAAGCTTGTTTCCAGAAAAAATCCAAGCTCTTAAAGTTGTTTTTTTAATTTCCAAGAAGCAGAAGCAAGTTGCTTGTAAGTTCTACGACACAACATTTTACCAAGCGATTTAACACTTTCGTGTAAAATGTTTACTTTCGACTTGCTGCCATACAACATGACCTTTCACGGCTACTGTCGATTTTAGCAATTTACCACAAAAATATTAATCACTAACACGCATTTTTTCGACGATTTCTTAGTGATCAAATTAACCAACGGAAAGAGCTCGGGCTCGTTGACGTCAGAGTATTGGTCTGTCCTCTTATTGATGATGAAAGATAGCCAATCAGCGCGCGAGAAATTAACAATTTGTGGCAACAAAACATTTGATACTTTTGCTGGAACCCCATCATCTTTAAATGAACCTTTTTTGAATAAACGTTTTAACTGACTTGTAGAAATCTTCTGATGCTGTTTTCCCCCAAATGGATTTTAATACTATTAAAAAGTCGAATTTGATCGGCCGTAAATTTTTTATAGTCCCTCGTCTCTTCTTCATCGATCGTAAACAATTTTGGCAAATATGAACTGACGGCGTTGTCATTTTCTCCAAATATTCCATGGAAATCACTTTATTGATAATGTATTATCCGAACACAAAACGCGAAAGCCGTAGGGGGAAAACGGTCAAAAATTTACCTCCTATTATCAATCTATATTTTCAGTAGAAAAAATTGACTGCCATAAGTTTTTTCTAACATTCTAAATTCACAAAACTCAGGATCTTTTCTTTGACTACCAAGTACGCATAACGCTTGACTTATATAACTTTATCACGTTTCACAATTGTTTCAGATAAAAGTCAGTTCCTATTTGAGAAACTTCCAAAAAATCGATAGAAATTTTATGTATAAAATTTATTTTAGTTGTCTTTACCTGGTTGCCCATCTTTACTTGTTTGAAACTTCACTTCTCTGTGTTAATCAGAAGTAGGAATCATGCGAATGTTGAAGCTTATTTTCCTGAATTTTAGCTGCGTCATGTCTTGTTTTCCAAGAAAATACTCCAAAGGTTTACTGGAATTTAATAGCGAGCGAGGGCGTTTCTGAGAATCAATGAGAACATTCTGGTCCATTGCTTATTGAACATGCTTCATGTTGTGTAGGTCTATTCCGAATGCGCTTTGCATGATTTCCGAGAAAAAGCTTTAAGTGTTTGCTGGATTCGGTTTTCTGGTGAGAGGTTTTCTGAGAATCAAAGGGAACATCCTGGTCTAATAATGTCTTTCAAGACTCAAGTAATTGCCATATATTTACGGACGAATAATGCTGATTATTTTATAAACTGCGAGTAAGTTTGAAGCTTATAATCATATTTAGTAACTCTGCCATATATCCTATACGTTTATATGTTTTATTTATACTTATTAAATTCTCAATTTTCTGTATGTTCAAGTCGATTTATTGCTTTCTTTTACATAAAAGATAACACTTGAGCTAATATTCTCTTCAGTGGTTTTTGGATACCAGATCGAATATTGCTTCATTAGTTACATATGCCAGAGTTAAGCTTAATATATATATTTAGGCACTGCCTAAAAGCGGAACTCCCGATACGGAAGTCACAGGGAGAACAATTTAAATGAAACTGAAATGTAAAAATAAGATCGGGGAAAAAGTCTTTTTCTGATGATAATTTCTCCCATAATAAAAATCATGCAGAGAAATCGAATCGAAAAGCATTACATTGTTTGTTTTTTCTTTTTTTGTGCGAGTATACTCTCCCACTTAGGAATTCTGTACACAACTCACCACCACCCCCAGGGGCTAGTTATTGTATTGGAAAGTTCTTCGACAAAGTTTTCCAAGGCCGACAGTTTTTAGGATTTGAATCTCTTTTACTTAAAAAAAACGAAAGATAACTACAGATAATCCAATACAATATCAAGTTTAGTGAAATTTATCTCGGATGTCTTTCATTGAAATCAAAAATGTGGAGATTTAGGACAAACAAGACCAAAAAACAGACTTGAAAACTGCTTAAGGTGAGCAGAAAATATGCTTACTTAGTTACGTCTTTTACAGAACGAGACGAAGTTTACATTGAAAGTCTAGGTCTATACAATAACATCTCTCAACAACACAAATTTAAGCTCATGTTTATAATCATACTTGCTCGAACAGCTTAATAAACAGTTGAATATTGAATATATAACAACAAATCATAGGTTATAATCTATGAATTGAGAAACATTGATAGATTTTTAGCTTGGTAATGAGTTACTGAAAGACATAATGTTTGCATATCATAATAAATAACAATCCGTTACTAGACTTCGATTTCGTTTCGTATTCACTTTCGAAAAGCATAGTGCTGTTTACATATATTTCAGTTCTTTTTCAGCTTATAGAGACCTTTAGATCCGACGACGAGTACGAGAACGAGTACGAGTACAAGTGTTTAACTTTTAAAGAGAGGGACTATCTTTTTGTAGTCGTGATCGTGTACGTAGATTGAAACTTTAAATTGTAAAAAATCGGAAATCGACTACGATTTAGTGTTAACCACGTGTACAGGACCAATTTTAAAACTCGTACTTGTACTCGATCTCGTACTCGTCGTCGTATCTAAAGGTCGCTTATATACAGCTACTTTCAAACCACTAGTTTATGCTTGCGATTGTCACGAAGAAACTCTAAAATACTCGAGATGATTGCAAGTCTTTCATTAAATACTGTAACGGAAAGTCGTCGTCTTGGACCCAATATATTATTTTGTTTCTGCTCAACTGTCAATTCAGAAAAGAATTGCCTATAATCACAATATTATACTCGATTAATGATCAGTTCAGAATCAAATAATTAGAACTATCTTGTTTTACCTCGACCCGCGTCGTTTTGCTTTCCACCGTACCCATATTTACTTCTCTGATCAAAAACCTGTCTTTTCMGCGATATGGTTTGCTAGCCAACAACACGAAGGAAGTAAAAATGAAAGTGGAACTTACCTTCTCATACTCATTAATAATTCATGAGTAAACCAGCCAATCAATGGGCTATTTTTGGGTCACATGATGTTACTTGAAACCTGGTAAAGTGCTGTGAAAGGAATGCATTCAGTCTGGAGTAACTGGAACAAAATTAATTCAGTCCTAGGACTGAATTAATTTTGTTCCAGCTACTCCAAGTCGAATAATAAATGAGATGAGAAGTCACTTCAAAGCTTCCAATATCGGACTGGACGGGATTTCAAGTCAAAGCAATTAATTCCAGTCCAAGGCGCAGCGTGATGCGTGAAGTGGAAACTCGAGAGTTCAGATTATGCATAGTTTAATAAACTCGCAGATCGTCTTTTATCAGGTTTAAAACAACGAGGCGTAGGCGAGTGGTTTTAGACCTGATAAAACATGGTTTGCGAGTTTATATTGAACGGTTTCAAAATTCATAAATAATTAATGAGCATTTAGGGTCCTTCTTCGTGCCACGCTCTTGTACACTTTTGATCCTTTATAAAGATTTCAAAATCTTTATATAAGGATAWCCATATTGAACTATTATCAGGTATAAAGGTCCATGCACGTGATGGATTTGCTCATTAATTATTCATGAATTTTTAATCTTATTTATAAAATCAGCGCGCGTGCAAAGTCTGAAACCACAACTCTCACCACTCTACAGTTATGGTCTCAGCTTTGATATCGCATTCTGGTGGCGTCTATTACCGTGTCTATTCTTCCCATTTTAGGGYCCTAGCTTCTCTATTCATATCGTTCATTCAATTCATCCTGTGGCTTGTCACCATCCACACCATTTTCCTGACCGACAACTAAGCGAAAACAATCAGTGGAAAATACGTTTGCTTAGAGATTGCATTAGGCATGTCATTGATGAAATTTAGAAAAAGAAGAGGCTCTAACATTGACCCTTGTGGAACCCCAGTTGTTGTAGGGATAAAACAGACTCAAATATTCATATATAAATACTTAGGACCCCCTCCCGGAACTCCAGTCAGCTCTATTATACCCTGCCTGCATGATTTCTTCTTATTTCTTATTCCCACTGTGCTTGGGAATTGGTGTGCGGATTCCCGTCAGAATAATATA